CCCTAAACCCCTAAACCCCCAAAAAAGGGGGCTACCTCCTCGCGGATGTCTGGTATCACTTCGTCCTCAACTCCGTGCTCCTCCCTGCCGGCCTGGCGAGGTCTACGTCCGAGCTTCCTTTTCTTGGGGGGTTTAGGGTTTAGGGTGTTGGGTTTAGGGCTTTAGGGTTTGGAGTATAGGATTTAAGGGTTTAGGGTTGTAGGTGTTGGTTTAGGGTTTGGGGTTTAGGGTTTTGGGGTTTAGGGTTTAGGGTTTAGGGGTTTTGGGGTTTATGGTTTTGGGTTTAGGGTTTTAGGTGTTGGGTTTTGGGTTCAGGGTTTTTGGTTTTTGGGTTTGGGGCTTCAGAGCTCAAGGGTTTTAGGGTTTAAGGTTTAGGGCTCAGGGAACCCTTAGGCCCATAAAGGGGGTTGTTGAAACGTAGAGTACAGTGTTTGAGGATCTAGGAACGGGCTTGCAAAGAGTTTGTTGGAGGTTTTGATGAAAGAGTCTTAACCGATGTTGAAGAGCACTTTTCACGGTGTCATACGTACGATATTGATGGTTTAGCCGGGTTGAATATGAATAGGGTTATAAATATGAAGGCTTGAAGCGGCTGTCAAATGCTTAAAAGATCCCATCCTGGAATCACTAAACCCCAACCCCTCAACCCCCAAACCCCTAAACTCCGTCTTTGGTTAGTGTTGGCCCCGTGAGCTATGGTTTGACCTCTGCAGAGAGAAAGTCCCAAAACACTTTAACAGAAAAAACTAAACTTAACTAAACCCCTAAACTTGGTCCAGGCGCCTCACCAGTAGCTCGGGCTGGTCAGCGCGAGCCGTCACCGCGCAAGGGCGCAAGGCTCCATCTTTTCAGGACTTGCGGTTTGGGCGTTTAAAGTTCAGGGTTTGGGGTTTTTAGGATAGGGTTTGTAGACGGATTTAGGTTTGGGAGTTTCTTTTCGGAGTTGTAGACGGGTTTAGGTGTAGAGCTGGAGGGGGGTTGTTTTGTAGGATTTGTAGAAGGGTTTGGGCTTGTATTGTTGTTGTCTTGGCCTGTTCTTTGAGGGTTCTATAATTTCCATGAGTGGGGCTTGTAAGGATTCTACAGCGACTTCTATGGATTCTGTAAGGGCTCTTGAGGGAAGAAGGCCAGATGGTAGGTGAACATAGGATTTGGAGTGCCTAGGAGTTTCGGGCTCAGTTTTTGCGGGGGAGGGGGTGGAGGGCTTAACTCTTGGGTTTCGGGGCATTGTTTCTCCCTTGACGAGGGCCCTCATTTGAGGGCTCATCTCTGATCCTCAGAGTTCGACATGCTAAGCCCAAAACCCTAAATCCGATAGGGGGCACCTCCTAGCCCTTCGTTTCATCGTGAGACGCTCTCGGGTTTCGGGTGTCGCTACGTTTGTGAGTTCATGTAGAAGCCGCAATAATTACCAACACTGTTCCTTATAGGCTTCCTTGAGCCTATTATAATATACCCTGTACCCTAAACCTAAACCCTAAACCCCTGAAATAGTATATCCCCAAAACCCTAGTCTAAGTGGTATAAGGCCCCTTTTGTTAGCGAGACATCCGAAGCCCTAAATGCTTGCAGAGCTTCTCCATCGAAGGCAGTGTTTTGAGCTTACGGATGGTCCTGTTAGCACTTTCTTAGGTAGTAATATAGATGCCTGAAAAATTAAAATAGGGTGCTTGTAAATGTTTTTTGTGGCTTTCTCTAATACGGGTTATTACAAGGGTTCGAGAGGGGCTTAGTGCAGAGGCCTTAATATTTAGAATAGGGTGTTGGGGCCTATTGTACTATAATCATGATAAGAAACCCCAAAATATAGTATTGGTAAACCCTAACCCCTAACCCTCAACCCCAAAACCCTAAACCCTTACACCCCTAAAAGCCCTAGAACCCCGAACCCCAAATCCCTATAATCCCTAAACCCCTAAACTCTTGAAAACCCTAAGAACCCACACCCCAACCCTCAAACTCCAAACCCTACACGGGCCCTGAATAAACTACCTGTTTGAGGTATATAGAACCATAATACGGATCCCTAAAAAGGCAGGCCTTCAAGGGTCCGGGGGGTCGGACCTAACAGCCGACAGGTCTCGCGCTACCTTCCTGGGGCTTCGACAGCCGCCGAGTTGAACTCCGTTCCGCGCCTGGAGGCCCGGAGTTTGAGAGCCGCAGGATTTAGTATGTATTGTGGGTTTAGGGTCGTATGCAGAAGGATACAACTAAATAGAAAGTACATATACATAATTATATATATATATATACACGCACATATAAATATGTATCTATGTATACATGTATATAGGAAGGCTTCGAAATAGGTTGCTCCGGGTTTTAGGGCTATTGAAGTCGTATCCTTAAATACAAAAGCCTAAACCCGTCAATGCCAAACCCCTATAGTCCTAAACCCTAAGCCCCGTATCGCCTCCCTTTATGGTATACTTGTATTCCGTTCTCATCATGCAGGACCGATTTGAGGTCGGAGCCGATGTTGTGGATTATCAACGCCTCTATATCCGAAACACCTGTACATCCTGAGTCCTGAAACTTTAAGTACCTTAAACACCCTAAATCCAAAATGCTGAACCCTAAACCCTGAACCCTAAACCCTAAGTCCTAAATCCCAAACCCAACCCTAAGTCCTATCCCCCAAACCTTCGGTGGTGAGGTCAATGCTAGACCCTGACAGGGCCTAGGACCCTAAGCCCCAAGGACCCGGAAACCCAAGACACCCACAAATCATCCCGTACGACACCCTGCCGAGGGTTTAGGGTTTAGGGTATACACCCCTAAGCGCTCTAAGCCCAGATGTCCTGTAGGGTTTAGGGTTTAGGGGATGCCCTGATGACGCGAAGTACCCCGAGGCTTCTTCTCAAGGGCTGCTTCGACTCCTCGGTGAATGACGAGAAGGGAAGATGTGCAATTAAAGATCGTCAGACTCAGCGGCATGATCATGTTGATTCTGACGACGATGCTCATGAAGGTTGATGATATTAGTCAATAATGATAGTTGTTGATGATGGTGCTCCAGCCAGGACAGTTTTCGATGACCACACTAGCTACGGTCATGATGCCGACAAGAAATATGAATCCCGCGACCCTACAGCAAACCTATACTGATACCCCCCAAAACGGGGTTATCTCGTCTCCGAATTCCGGGAGCTGTTTGATGGCTCACAGCCAAAGACGCTGTGTGCCTGGGGACCCGGCCGGAACCTGCACAGGCATCGCAAAACAAACAAGCCTCAAGAGGTATCCTACTGTAGGGCTGGGGTATCGTGTAGTACACTTCTATCAGAACGGGTCTTGAAACCACTTTAATTTCTAAACATGCTGCTCTCTGGGTCTGTGTAAGGGTTCTACAGGACCCAGCGAAAGGTCCCAGTCTGCAAACTCTGTGGTGAAGACAGATCTAGGGTCTTTGAACTAAGCCCGAAACCCCCAATCCCCCAAAAGTGAAGCAGAACATGAAGCCCACGCAAGGCCTAAACCCCTAAACCCTAAAACCCTAAAACCCTGAACCCTAAACCACTAAACCCCTAAGGGGCCTCCCTCGATGTTGCGACAAGAGCTTAGAGCTGAGCCCGGGATTATGGAGGAGGCCTCGGATGCTTCAGTGGGAATCTTGGGTTTTGCTATAATAAGGAAGCCATATTATTTTCTTTGAGATCCCTATTATGGTAACTTTTCCGTTGCATGGGGGGGATGCAGAGGGCCAGCAGGAAGCACACAGAGCATGCAAACTGCGACACCTCAGCACCCATCGATCCGCGAAAGCCGTCCTCAGTGAAAAGGCCTATGAGAGCATCGTTGGCTCAAGGCTGAAAGCAGCACCTACAAATCGCCGCTGCAGCTTCTGGTTGGCAGACTTCCTGAAGAAAAGATATCCAAGAGCAGTCCTTCAAGTAAGGCCTTGCCGCAAGACCCATGTTGTTGGAACCCAGACCTAACAAGCGAAGGTGTTTCACGTCGCCAATTTCGGCAGCAGGCCAAGCAGC